GACACATGATGGCCTAGCAAAAAACGAGCCAAGCATGTCATCAAGCTGGAAATCCGTGCAGGGGCCAAGCGGGCCTGCATGAGAACGGAATCCATGTTCACCCCCAAGAAAACGGTGCTTTGAGCCGGAGCAAGAACACTCTTCTCCGAATTCAACCTCAAACCGAGAGACTGGATATGACTCAGAACGATGTCTCTGTGGTGGGCCACTAGCTTCCTGGACTGGGCTAAAATAAGCCAATCGTCCAGGTAATTTAGAACACGGATGCCCTGGAGCCGCAATGGGGCCAGAGCTGCATCCATGCACTTTGTGAATGTCCTCGGGGCCAGAGATAGGCCGAAGGGAAGGACCCTGTACTGGAACGCCCTTTCTCCAACGGCGAACCTGAGGAACTGCCTGTGTCGCTGTACAACCTGGATGTGAAAATAAGCATCCTTTAGGTCTATCGTCACGAACCAATCCCCTGGCCGAATCTGAGATATGATAGCTTTCAGCATCAACATCTTGAATTTCCCTTTGTAAAGGGCGAAGTTCAGTCGGCGGAGGTCCAGTATGGGACGCAAACCGCCGCCCTTCTTCGGGACCAGGAAGTAACGGCTGTAAAAGCCCCGCTCGGTTTCCCCTGGAGTAATCTCCTCTATTGCTCCTTTGAGAAGGAGGGAAGAGATTTCCTGCTGAAGTACAGAAGCCTGAGTGGCGCTGTCTACTACAGTAGGAAACACCCCGTTGAAACAGGGGGGATTGCGGCAAAACTGAAGAGTGTAGCCGAACCGAATTGTGCGAAGAACCAAGACGATACCCCTGGTAAGCGCTCCCACTCTGGAAGGAAATGTGATAGAGGAGGAGGGATGTTGTAATGCAGACGACATACCTGAGTGAGGGTACCGTGCTGACGCTCCTGGAGTAAAGAGGTTGACTGTGCAGGAGGGCCATCGGCGTCCTGGCACGTGATGGGAGGCATCGATGCTGGGGTCATGGTGACCAGATCCGCCTGCTCCGGAGGAAAACGGAAAGTGCCTCCGAGGATGCGGCCGGCAGTTATAGAGAGTCAAGTCAAGTCAAGTCACATTTATTTATATAGCGCTTTTCACAATACAGATTGCATCAAAGCAGCTTCACAGTGATAACATGAAAGTAGTACAACACAGTTCAATAATATTGTTGAATATTAAATATCCCCAACTAAGCAAGCCAAAAGCAAGGCGACAGTGGCAAGGAACCAAAACTCCATCAGATTGGATGGAGAAAAAAAACCTTGGGAGAACCCAGGCTAGTCAGGGGCCAGTTCTCCTCTGGCTAACAATCATAGCTTTACAGTAAGTGCATATCAGAAAGTACCTGGAAAAAATACATTTAGTTAATCATGTAATATTTAGGGGATAACATATCGCCGGCGTTGAGTCGTCTCTTCGCAGGCGTTGAGTCGTCTCTTCACAGGCGTTGGTCTTCTCATCACAGGCGTTGAGGCATCCGAAGTCCCCGTGAGAGGCAGGATACCAAACTGGAGCCTACGAGTGTGGGGGGTGAGGGGAGAAAGCAGAAAGCGTCTCCTTCCTCCCGCACCGGACTGAGTAGAGAAGGTGAAATATGACCTGCACTTCGAGACACTCTGAGTGGCGAAGGTGACAGGGCAAGGAAAGGAGAGCTGGGAGGTGGGCAGAAACGCTTGTGCGGTCTGACCCAACCTTGAGGAAGCAGAGGAGCTCTCCTTTTTCTGACCGGAAGGTCAGGAACGGCTCTGGGCCGCCGGAGCAGTCGGTTTGTCGGACCGCTTCAACTGGAGGCGCTTGTGAGGCCGTTGAAGGGGAAACGGGCGACCGCGGGCTCCCCAAACCGTGGTAGGTGGGGGATGCCCCGGTTCGCTTCTTCTGGAAGAGAACTCCGGTCTATGAGAGGGACGTTCTCTGGGTCGCACCGGGGGGGGGGGGAGCAGAAGGTTCCCTAGCCCTCCTGGGCATGAACTGTCTGAACGCGGCCGATTGGGATTTGGAGGAGCGGAATTTCTCAACCACTGTGTTGACCGCCTCACCAAACAACCCCGTTTGAGAAATGGGGGCGTCCAAGAGGAAAACCTTCTCTTTGTCACGGATCTCCGTGAGATTAAGCCACAAGTGGCGCTCCACCGCAACAGAACCAGCCATAGAGCGACCTATAGCGCGTGCGGTATGCTTGGTGGCTCTTAAGGCTAAATCCGTAGCCTTACGAAGCTCCTTGACCGCTTCAGGAGTCACGCCGTCGCCCTCGTCCATTTCCTTCAGGACGTCCGCCTGGTAGGCCTGAAGAATGGCCATAGTGTGCAGGGTCATGCCTGCCTGCCCAGCCGCCATGTAGGATTTCCCAATGAGAGAGGAAGTAGTCCTACATGCTTTAGAAGGGAGGAGGGGGCGCGACTTCCAGGACGGCGCAGACGACGGAGCAAGATGGTCGGCTAAAGTTTCCTCAATCGCCGGAATGGCGGAATAGCCCTGTTCCACAGAGCCTACCAGGTTGGTGAAATCAGCAGCAGCCACATTAGTGAGGCGCGAAGAGAAAGGCTGCTTCCAGGATCTGGAGATCTCATGATGCAGATCACTGAAAAATGGCAGCTTCCTCCGTTGAGGCCTAGAATTAGGGCCACTGAGAAGCCTTTCGTCGAGTTTCGACGACTGAGACTCACGTGGCTCGTCGGGCCAATCAATAGTGAGCTTCTCCGTAGCGCGCGAAAGCACGTCAACGAGCTCCGCGTAGGCCGCGCTTCCTGGCCGCTCGGCGGGATAACCTCGTCGGCGACAGTAGGCCCGAAATCCTCGGAGTCGGAAGCCTCGGTAAAAAGTATATCCTCCAGCCCGAAAGAAACCGCGTCGCGTGCTCCCGGGCTGGGGCGCAAATAATCGTGTGAAAATTCGACTGGCATGCCTCGCGCGTGCCGAGGGGAGGGAGGGAGAGAAAGAGCGGGGCTCGTCTGCTCGAACTCCACATCCTCAAGCTCTACATCCGAACCCCATGACGCGGATCCTTGAGAGGCCTCGGGAGCGCGACAGGGGGAGACGAATGATTCCCTCTCAAAGATCGCGAGCCGCGATTTGAGGGTTTTGAGCAACAAATTTTCACAGAATTTGCATTTAGACGATCCTATAACTGCCTCACGTGCATGTGAAAAACCCAAACACTTAACGCACTCACTGTGTGGGTCGTCGTTAGCAATGTAACGAGCACATGGCGGAGTACAGCGTCTGTAATCCATGGCAACTTCACCGTAAGGAGAAACAGAGTTCCGCTTGAACAGTCGCAGAAGCGCCGAGAATAATCCTTAGATGTAGCTCAGAAAAATCACGAGCGAAGGGCAACGTGACCGCTTCGTTCTGAAGGTAGAGAAATCTGAGGAGCAGATGGCGCGCACGCGAATATGTAATGATGCGACGTAAGAGCGCCGGGGCGGAGCCATATCGCGCGGACGCCATCAGCCAATGAATTGGCGTGATTCTATAAGGCTTCAGACAATCGGCACATTCAGAGAGTATCCCACTGCGCTTTCCGCAGCGTTGAGTGAACCTATGAAAGAGAACTTTTAAGCTGTCAAGAAACTGCCTTGCGATCACATTTGTGAAATTTTGGAGAAATTACACAGGCAAAAAGGTCCATTGACCATTGTCAACAGTGTAGTGACGTAATGTATGAAGCACAGCTCACACAGGAGTCACTTTCAAGCAGCTTTCTGTTGGTCAAATCAAGGGAATTCGAGTGACCAACTTGGACCCATAGTGGAACTTTTGAAATTGCACACACGAAATTGCTATTTGAAGTAGGTTTCATGGTCTACTCTTAGCACGGACCATACAGCAGCAACAATTGTTAAATTAATAATATTAATAGCCGCAGTAGTGGTAGGCTAAGGCAGTGCAAGCCAAGTAAAGTAAAACAGAGTTTCTGATCTGGCCAATAATGGCCAAGCACATGAAGCAAAATAGGCTATCTGCGATTATACGAGTTGTGTAAAGTTAACAAATAAACCAAATCTAATAGATAAACTATAAAGCTGGCTGAAAGAGCAATACTACTGACAACAAAACTAGCACAAAACTATGTGTAATTGCAAAATAAGTTAATTGCCATCAATATGCAACGTTTTAGAAAAGTATGAATTAGTAGAATATCCAGTGTTATGAAAACAGTAGGTCAACATAACTACTATGCATTCTTTAATTCCCGGTCGTATTCTGCCCTCTAGTGGCATATCAAAATGAATATAAACCTTAACATAACGGACAGTGTTATTTACTAACAGACCAAACAAAGTAAATAATCATACTAATAAAGTATATTATTTAGGCTACAAAAAAATCTGATGAGCCCAGAATATAAACTTAAATACACGTTATGCAAATTGCCGAAAACTCTCAAATGAGATCGACTCAGAAAAGGCGTCAATATGCACGCGTGTAGGCCATCTTTGTTACACGCGCAAATTATAATCACTAATACAAAATAAAACAAAAATGTCAATATTTGTACAAATTGCTGCACATTCGTTGAATTCTGAAAGCAATTTGTTTGTGGATAACCTAAAACATATCTACAACATTTATCAAGTTCATTTAGCGTGCATTTATTAATCAATATGATACTAAAATCATAATAAAGTAGGCTATAGCCTACAACAAAAAAGTCCAGAATATGAACGCAACGCGTTTAATTTGACGTTAAGCATTTTCCTCCCATAGAAACCCATTACAAGAACGCTAAATGTGGCTTAATGCATATTAGAATGTCCCCTTATTATGTTGAAATTACGAGATATTTGTTACGATAAATAATCAGAAGATTTAAATGCAAGTGAAACAGTATATTAGAAGTCCAGGCAGAAATCGTGAGAGAGTGATGGTAAGTCAATGTCCGGTATAGAGCACTTGGTAGCAGAGGGACGCTGAGGGACAACAAACTTCTTAGGCTTACGATGCTTTTGGGAGACGCAGCCCTGATCTGAACTGATAGAGTGAAGAGTGTGTCATTGTTCTCTACAGGTTGGTTGATTGTGGCATTACAGATGAAGGTAGTGTTGCTCTGACTTCAGCTCTGAGATCAAACCCTGGACACATGAGAAATCTAAATCTGTCTAAGAATAAAATAGAACAATCAGGACGGAAGTTGCTCTCTGATCTAAAAGATGATCCACGTTTTAAACTGGAGCTACTGTACTACTGTGAGTATATTTTTATTTAAATCCTTTAAATTGACCCAAGTTCAGTAAAAGGCCTCATATGTGTGTAACTGGAGAATATAAGATAATTCCGCTCCACTTTAGTCTCTGTAAACTGTGTTAAAGGTATAGTTCACCCAAAGATTTACTTACCCTCAAGTCATCCTAGATGTATAATATGACATTCTTCTTTCAGACGAATACAATCGGAGTTATATTAAAAAATGTCCTGGCTCTTCCAAGCTTTATAATGGCAGTGAATGGCTGTTTCTGTTTTGAAGTCCATAAAAGTGCATCTATCCATGATAAAAGTGCTCCACACGGCTCCGGGGGGTTAATAAAGACCTTCTGAAGCAATGCCTGTGTGTAAGAAAAATATTAATATTTAAAACTTTATAGAGTAAAATAATTAGCTTCTGGCCAAACGAACATACGGATTCGACTTAAGTCTAAAACTTTTGCGAGTAATGCGACGTCCTGCTGATATTTACACTACGCCATGACGCACTATGCTACTTCTGACATCATAAGTTGCGCTTTAGGTGTAAGTATGGCCTTTGGCCAGAAGCCAGAATTTTACTTTGTAACGTGTTAAATATGAATATTTTTCTTACACAAACTCATCACTTCACTTCAGAAGGCCTTTATCAACCCCCGGATCCATGTGGAGCACTTTTATCATGGATAGATGCACTTTTATGGAAACAGAAACCACCATTCACTGCCAATTATAAAGCTTGGAAGAGCCAGGACTTTTTTTTTTTTGTACACATTTATTTTAGCATTTTTGCTTTTTGACTTTATTTATATAACTCAGATTGTATTTGTCTGAAAGAAGAAAGTCATATACACCTAGGATGACTTAAGGGTGAGTAATTCATGGGCTAATTTTCAATTTTAGGTGAACTTAATATTTTAGTTTAGTTCTGTGATGTGAATATGATCTATGAATATATGAGTATTTTCATCACTTACAGTGTCTCCTTCGTGTAAGTGATTAAGAGAGAGTTGTCATCAAGCATAGCGCCAGTTCTGGCAGGTCACGTTAGTCAAGCTCGCATCAGCTGACTCTCAGTTAATCCACCTATAGGAATATGACGCCTATCACTGTATACATATAATAATATACATATATAAGCTCCTTCAGTATTATCAGCAGCTATCGCGTTTTTAGGAGCTATTTGCCCTCCTCCATCCCCAGCTCCACATCTCATCAGTCAGGATTTGGCATTCTGATTCCCCTTGAATCAGAATAAATTCTCGAACGATGTTGTACTTTAAAATCTTGAATTAATGATATCTGCATACATTCATGTTGGTTCTGTTCTGTTTCCCCTAAGGGGGGTTATTGCTGTTCTCGCCCAGAACGGAACCATACCGCCAATCCAAAATGTATGATAATTGTCAATCGTATTTGACGATAGTGGTCCTGAAAGAATATCAGTTGTTGACCATATTGTAATGACTGAGACAAATCAGACACAATTATTTGTTATAGTTAACAAATAATCTTAAAAAACTCACTCTGGGATCTATGGTCCCATCCCCCCAACAAGGGCAAGAAGGGTCTTGGTTACCATGACTACAATCAGATAAGTTGGTTTTGTTGCTGTTAAAAATGTGGTCACGTGGAAAAAGCAGAGGCCATAGGAAAGACCCACAACCCTTAAAACAGACTTTACTGCATTAATTTATGAACGAACTGATCTGTTAATGAACATGCACCCCAGGACACTGTGAACAATTTACTATCTTGTGTAGTAGGGGTGGAACGGTACACAGAAGTCACGGTTCGGTTCAGACATCACGGTTCGGTACGATTTCGGTACATTGGAGGGAAAATAAAAAGACAAAAAGACCTTGCGATATGTTTGGTAATTGTACCTGAATGAATTTAAAATTAGTTTGCTATAATTCAGATCAATATTTTTGTTTTCCTTAATTTTAATTAACATTATTAATTAATGTAACATTACTCTCATCTGAATTTCTGTATAAAATAATACTACCATTTAAAAACACATTCGATGTTCATTTTTAATCAATGTGTTAAAAAATAAACAGATTAGTGCTCCTACTCCGAGGAAATGAAAACCAATGCAATATGATGAATGTCCAAAAGATGGAACACAGACTGTTTTGAAATGGGGTTGGATAAATATTTTTTTGCTTTTAAAACAGTGTGTGTGTGTATGTGTGTGTCTGTGTGAGTGATATTTTGGTTGGGTGACAGTTGTAGGTTACAGTTTGACAAGAGTTTACAGTGTGACAAAAGCACAATGGTGTGTTTTATTGCGAGTTTACACAAATAAGTAAACACTTTGCAGGTTTAATGATCTGTATGAACAGAATGACGGAGTATGTTTTTTTATGTTTCCACTGTTTGCTCTCTCTCTCTCTCTCTCTCTCTCTCTCTCTCTCTCTCTCTCTCTCTCTCTCTCTCTCTCTCTCTCTCTCTCTCTCTCTCTCTCTCTCTCTCTCTCTCTCTCTCTCTCTCTCTCTCACACACACACAGTTCGATCGCGCCCGAGCCTCTGCACACACACACACACACACACTCCAGCTTTGCAATCTTGACATCGCAGCCTGTTCAATATGCGGTCACACCAAAAGCGAATAGAGCGTCAAATTCACGTCTAGTTCGACGCTAGTACAAAGCGAATAGAACGCGCGTATAGATAAAAGCCAACGTTTGAAGCAGAGCCTGGTTTGGTTTGAAGTGAACGCGCGTTCAGAGCAAAGCCGAGGTTACAGATTATGTGTCCCTAAAGAACCCGCGCATCTCAGTAGTTCCGCATTACATTAATTAATTTGCACGCGAGTTATTTATTTTTATACCGTGTATTCTCCATGTAAATTCGTGCACCGAACCGTGACCCCCGTACCGTTTCGGTTCAATACGAATACATGTACCGTTCCACCCCTATTGTGTAGTGTCTTTGATACTATGTATTTTATGATAGAACCAACGGTCAATCTAACCCCACCTGTATCGTGTCTCCTATCTAATTAATCCTCATTTAATGACTCATCATTCTCATAGAATGCAGTGTGTGTTTGTTATATCTATCTGAGTATAAATGAACACAAACAGCATGGCCTATGTCTAACCACACTTGAGACAGAGCCATAAATCCTCCCAACTGAAGGAATTTCCCGCTTGGAAATTCCCCCTTTCTTATTGGTCGAGCAAACCCTGAGAGGTGGGACCTTTCTCAGAATTTAAATGGCCTCTACATAAGCTCTTCCCTCTCTTGGCCTTCTCGGTACGTTCGCATAGCTGTCCTGCGTGGCCACACTAGGCCCCAGGGCGCAGGCCTTGTGCTTATTCAGGAGAGAGGGGACTCTCTCAACCACAACAGAATCAAGGACAACATCAGGAGTTTGGCACAACTTCTTCATTCAATGCAGTCCATTGCAACTCCAACCATCAACTCTTCCAACTTCCTCCCTTCTCCTGTTTGCTTTGCGTGTTCTCTCCGTCCCAATGTGTATGTGTGTTTATTTTAGTTATGTTAGTGATTTTAGTTTTAAAAAAAACTTGTGCACAATACGTATTTGGTTCTGATTCTCTGCTTGCAACAAAGATTTTGAGATTTTGACTACAGGCTCTTAGTACTGTACAGTAAGAAAGGCATTTCCCTCCCCCGGAAATGAACATTTCTTAGAATTAAATAATTAACACTGAGTGTTCACAGGACGAACAGGTGGATTGATTGCAATATTAATTTTAATACATTAAGTTAATTGTATTAACTGATCTAAATATTCATAATCAATTATAACAAATTGTGATTAATTATTAATATTTCTTTATGTACTGTCTCATACTCATATGTGTCTGTCTGTCTGTGTGTTTTATTGTAGGACTCTCAGTATTTAGACGTCAGTCCAGTTTCCTCAGGATCAGCTGATGGTGAATAAGGAGCCGCTACAGAGACTGAAGACACATTATTTTTTATTTTGACTGGTTTATTTTATTTTTCCTCCAATCTCTGAACACAGTTAATTACTCATTGCCATGTGGATACATATTCTTCCCTCTGCAGATTAATTCATTGTTGTTGTTGTTTTTGCAATATGGAGAGTTTAGCAGAAGGCATAGCTTATTAACAAGTTGACACAGTTATGTATTACACACCTGTGCTAATGGTCAGAGATTCTGTGACTGATTTTTGTCAAGTCTTATCCTTTAATGGATGTTTTGTCGATGTGCTCAGCTTTGTTCTTTGTGTTCCCTGGGGCCTATACCATGAAGCCGGTTTAGGTGGCTAGCCAGCTATGTTTCAGTTTAGTTTGCGCCAACCCTGGGTTTAAGCCAACCCTGGGCACCATGAAAGTTGTTTGGCTTTTAGCAGTGTTCATCACCATAGTAACTTACGCTCCACAGCTAACCTGGTCCGGGGCAGGTTATGTTCCAGGTAAGAGGTTGTAATCCGAATTTGGAACAATCAGTTGTAAGCAAAGTGACATGTCTGATGCGATAAAGTCACTCCACCTGTTTCTACTCCAAATTAAAGCTGAAGTCGGTAAGATTTTTTTGATCATATTCACTGAAATTGACACTATGCTCCGACAGAACAACATAAATCAGCCGGTTTTAGAAAAAAACCTGCGCTTATACCTCCACCTAGAGCCTATTATTTGTTTTGCAAAAATCCACCGCTCCCGGTTCTTCTGGTCCAATCAGCGCAGGGCTGTGTGAGATCTGACTGTCAATCACAGTTCGTGCACACACCGCAGAACCCCCATCGCACATTTTACAATATCACATGCACACGCACATGCACAATATCACGGCCGTACAAAGGAAATGAATAGTTGAATAAAGTCGTTATTTTTGTTTCTTTTTTGCGCACAAAAAGTATTCTCGTCGCTTGATAAACTTGAGATTGAGCCACTGTAGTCACTCGGACTATTTTAACGATGTCTTTCATAACTTTTGGGCCGGCCAGTTTCGATCCCTTAAGAAGCCTATGGAGGAGTGATCCAGCTCTCAGATTTAATCAAAAATATCTTAATTTGTGTTCCGAAGATGAACGAAAGTCTTACGGGGTTGGAACAACATGAGGGTGAGTAATTACTGACAGAATTTTCATTTTTGGGTGAACTAACCCTTTAAGTGTCCATACAGATACATTGGCAACGTATCCCCTTTACGGGTAATTTTAATGCAGGTACAGGTGGTACTTTTGACTGCTCTTTCGAAATGAGCGAGTCAACCGGGTGTGCGCATGTGGGCAGCTCCTGTAGCAGCAGGGGTGGTAGCCATGGTAGCGAGGGAGAGTGACAGTCGCCCAGCCAATCATTGCATTCGTTCCGAATGGAAAGAGTATCTGTTTATTGCAGCCCTGAGAGGACTACAGACACTCGATTTTTATACTCGCCTTTTCAGAGTACTTACATTTTAGATATGTATTGGTATATAAAGACAGTTTTAACAAATTTGGGAAAAAGTGTTTTACAAACAAACTGCCTACCCTGCCTTTAAGCGATAAAAGTACTACATGTGAGCTTAAAAGTTAAATTCTCTCAATACCTGTATCAACTGTATAAACTAACTTCACAATTTTTACATGCATTGATATAGCAAGACTTTTTCTTTTAGTTGTCCTCTTTCAAAGACAGCTATTTTCTTCTTGCTGGGTATATTTGTTTAAATTCTTAATATTTTTTAAATCTTGTATATAATTTTCTGCAGAAGAGAGAAGTGAATTGCACTGCTTCTCTCGCGAGAAATGAATCGCAGTTTCACTCTTTCTCAGCATGTGATTGGCTGTTTGCTACTGATGTCACAGCTTAATTCAGGATCACAGCCAGAGTTGACAAAGAAGGTTAATGATGGTACCAACCATGCTACCATCATGGTACCAACAAAGCCTGGTTAGATTGGTTTGGTTTTGTCAACTCGAAACTAATTCTGCAACCCTGAGTTTGTTCAACTACCATCATGGTACAAGTCTCTGGTTTCCTAGTTCTCTTGATTGTATATCTTTGTTGTTTTTTAATAAAAGATATCTGCGATTGGTTCATGTCTTCCTCATTTCTGAGTTCAGCTACATGACAGTGTGAGACTCGAATCTGGCCTGCATCAATTCTCAATCCCATCAACTTTTCTCTTCACTTTTACAATTTGTAAAATGACAAAAGCCCTCAAAGTAATTAAAACAAATTTGATGTACAATACGTTAAAAAGTTCAGTAAGGGGTCAGTAAGATTTTATTTAAAACAGTAAGGATGAATAAAAAATGACAGTAAAGACATTGTTACAAATATATATATATATATATATATATATATATGAGATGTTTTAGTTTAACCAAGATTTGTATTTGCTTTTTATTTCCTGTTGGTTATTTTTTAGAGAGTAAATTCTGGAATTCTGATATATTATAATGGAATGATTTAGGCATATTTTAGATTCAGAATATTTGCCCAGATATTATTCAATTAAAATTAAATCTATTGGCTGAATCTGAAATCGCCCCCTATATGTCACAGTCCTCGTCTGCACCTGTCTGTCCTTGTCTGCACTACACTTCCCAGAATCCTTCTTGTCTCCACACCTGTATTCACTCCCTCAATCATCCACCTGTTCATCGTCTTAATCATCTGTGTCACCTGTCCTCACCTCGTTAGTGTATGGTGTGTTACTGTCCCCCGTGATCCTTGTTTTGTTATTTTGAGTAAAGTATATTTGAATTGGACCTGTTGACTGCTGCTTCTCCTTCAACCTGCACCACACCCGTAACAGAAGAACCGACCCAAAATATGGACTTGGCTGGCCGTGACCTGACGGAATACCTCATCAGGATCCTGATGGAGAGAGGTATCCGCATCACCATCACCCCAGTGATGGCTCCAGCCATCTTCGCCACGCCATCCATCCACATGCATGATCCTGCGCCAGAGCCAGCTGATCCTGCGCCAGAGCCCGCTGATCCTGCGCCAGAGCCCGCTGATCCTGCGCCGCTGGTCCCGTCCAGCCCTGAGCTTCCTTCGCCGCTGGTCCCGTCCAGCCCTGAGCTTCCTTCGCCGCTGGTCCCGTCCAGCCCTGAGCTTCCTTCGCCGCTGGTCCCGTCCAGCCCTGAGCTTCCTTCGCCGCTGGTCCCGTCCAGCCCTGAACTTCCTTCGCCGCTGGTCCCGTCCAGCCCTGAACTTCCTTCGCCGCTGGTCCCGTCCAGCCCTGAGCTTCCTTCGCCGCTGGTCCCGTCCAGCCCTGAGCTTCCTTCGCCGCTGGTCCCGTCCAGCCCTGAGCTTCCTTCGCCGCTGGTCCCGTCCAGCCCTGAGCTTCCTTCGCCGCTGGTCCCGCCCAGCTCTAAGCCCTCTTCACCGCTGGTTCCGCCCAGCTCTAAGCCCTCTTCACCGCTGGTCCCGCCCAGCTCAAAGCCCTCTTCACCGCTGGTTCCGCCCAGCTCAAAGCCCTCTTCACCGCTGGTTCCGCCCAGCTCAAAGCCCACTTCACCGCTGGTTCCGCCCAGCTCAAAGCCCACTTCACCGCTGGTTCCGCCCAGCTCTAAGCCCTCTTCACCGCTGGTCCCGCCCAGCTCAAAGCCCTCTTCACCGCTGGTTCCGCCCAGCTCAAAGCCCACTTCACCGCTGGTTCCGCCTAGCTCAAAGCCCACTTCACCGCTGGTTCCGCCCAGCTCAAAACCTTCGCCACTGGTCCTGTCCAGCAGAGAGCCCTCACCGTCTGCCCAACCAGAGACTGTTAACGTCCCGTCTGCCCAACCAGAGACTGTTAACGTCCCGTCTGCCCAACCAGAGACTGTTAACGTCCCGTCTGCCCAGCCTGTCACAGAGCCTGTCCCTCATCGAGTCACGCTCCCCAAGAATTTTTTTGGGGGGGGGGCCATAGGTCTCCGCCATGGCCGCCCGAAGGGTCTGCACCGCCATGGCCGCCCGAAGGGTCTGCACCGCCATGGCTGCCCGAAGGGTCCGCACCGCCATGGCCGCCCGAAGGGTCCTCACTGCCATGGCCGCCCGAAGGGTCCTCACTGCCATGGCCGCCCGAAGGGTCCTCACCACCATGGCCGCCCGAAGGGTCTCCACCGCCCTGGATGCCCGAGGGTCCGACAGCTCCACCCTGGACGCCCGAGGGTTCGTCTGCTCAGCCCTGGCCACGGCCACGTCCTGCTCCGCCACGGCCACATCCTGCTCCGCCCTGGCCACGCCCACGTCCTGCTCCGCCATGGCCGCCTGTTCCATCCTGGAGTCCATCCTCCTGCACCCGGTCCGCCTTCCCGTTACGGACTCCAGGATGCCCACCCTCCCACCCCTGTTCTAAGGCGTGAGGTCACGCCTACCGGGAGGGGGGAGTAATGTCACAGTCCTCGTCTGCACCTGTCTGTCCTTGTCTGCACTACACTTCCCAGAATCCTTCTTGTCTCCACACCTGTATTCACTCCCTCAATCATCCACCTGTTCATCGTCTTAATCATCTGTGTCACCTGTCCTCACCTCGTTAGTGTATGGTGTGTTACTGTCCCCCGTGATCCTTGTTTTGTTATTTTGAGTAAAGTATATTTGAATTGGACCTGTTGACTGCTGCTTCTCCTTCAATCTGCACCACACCCGTAACACTATACACGCAAATAGTGCGTTTTCTGAGGGGACAGCCATTTGAAGAGGTGTGAAACCATAGTGGACGTTATTGAGTGCACTTATTCAATCGTTCAATTCAATCGTTCACATCGTTATTCAATCGTGCACTTATTCAATCTGGTTTTAAAGCTTTACAGAGGACTGAAACTGCCCTTTGAAGAGTTTCAAGCGATATTTTCACAGAAACTGATTCTGGGAAATCCATTGCTTTGGTTTTATTAGATCTGAGTGCTGCATTTGATTTAGTCGACCATGAGGTCCTGTTGAGACGTCTGGAGATATCTGTGGGCTTTCGTGGCGCAGTCTTACAGTGGTTCCGT